CCTCTCGGCGGAGCGTGTTGCTTGGCGACAGAGAATACGGAATTCAGGAGAACAGATCAGCCGTGCATTTCTTGCCTTTGCGGACAACTGCAGTGTACGCTCGGAGATCCAGTCTCTCTTGTGGCGAAGTATCTTAACTAACTACCCCAGCGCCGCTTCTCTGATGGACGTTTTCAGCGTGGACCATTGTGCGTCGGCGGTTGAGTCATCGAAGAAAGTTGAGGCTGAGTTGGAAGCGGTTGCGTCTAACAGCGCCTGCGTCCTCTCAGATCGTTCTAAGAACGCGATGTTGAATTTGTCCGGGAGACGAGTCTTTCGGCGAGCAGTCAGGTGGATCTTGAAGCGGGCGCGTTCAAGGGTATAGTCCATGCCGTTCCTGATCCGTTTTTACGCCGCGATACAATAGGCAATTGCATGCTCATTTGTCATTTCGGCCACTGGGAGAGCGCAGGGCGCGCCGCTTCCGGGGAACGCCGTAGCATGAACGCGATGTACCATTGTAAGACGACTCAACTTCTGTATACCTCGAATGAGAAGGATCTCGGTGTAATCGTTCAAGACGATCTAAGCTGCTCCAGGGCGTTGACCGTAACAGAAAGACATGTTGGTTTGCTCAAGTCTTTGGCCGATTTGAACCTATGCTGTTCCCACGTTTGCTATCAGCCTACATTTGAACCCACATAGAGTAAACCATTAAGCGTAGAATGGATGACTAAAATGCGATCGTAAGATTTTAGAACGTCCACAAGGAATAACCACCAAGATTATTAAAGAACTGCATTCCAAAACCTATGTGAAGAAACTACAATCATTGAGGCTTTACTTCAGTCACTTTTGTTGAACTTGAGGAAACTAGTATATTAAATGTCGTTTACTGCTCGCCTTGTCACCCAACACTCACCTGAGGGGGCACTCATTCAAATTAGTGCTTCAAAGCTATCGACTAGAATGCCGGTGTCATTCATTTACCCTCAGAATGTGAGCTATTTGGAATTCTCTAACACCCCACAATTGATTCTTTCGAGCACAAACTAGGCGAAACATTGACAAGTCTTAAATTTCTACATTAGTTTAGTTAAGTAAGTTTAAACAACCATCAGGCATACATACATTTCCGTGCGACGCTTTTAGTTGCTGTCGTTTGGGTGCCTATTAGGGTGAACAATAGGAGGAAAACATTCGTAGCAGTACACGAAACAATGAAAATACGTGGCATTCCCCACCTCTCCTTGATCGGTCAATCGATTCAATTGTGTAAAAAAAACCTATGGGACAGAAGTAGCAACCGCTTAAAAATATTTTTCATAATAAACCTTTGAAAAAGAATAATGGTGAATGAGAGGCAATCGTCACGTGACCGACTGATAATGTGAGGTACAGTATAGACCAAAGCACAACAAGCATTTGTGCAAGTATCATAGAGACAGTGCCATTTGATAATGGTGAGCGCAGAACTTTTGAAACCGATCGATCAATCAATCGTTTGAGTGGACTTTATAAGATATGTGAGAACATGCAAAGTCAAAGTTTTACTATGGGCGATTTAACAAAGCTTATCATGCCTCATAGGCTTTTTACAGAATATTTTGAATAACTTCACAAAGAGAAAATAATAATAATAACAATATACCGTGAATACAACAAAAACGAAAAGTAAGGGAGCGCCGACATGGAATATATACTATGAAATACAATAATTCTTCTTACCACGGGCTTCTTCTAATAGTTGTCGATCACGAGCCTCCTGGGCGCTTTTTTCCGAATTTTGAAGCGTCTTTAAACCCAAATGTCTGGAAATAAGCCGATTCGCTGTGGCTGGTGTAGTGGGAGGACGCCGTTTGAATGGCATTGCCCAGTCCCCTGGTGATCGGGCCAATTTTCGTTTGCTGTCAGTTGACGCATCTTCAAACCGTCGGGCCTGTGGAGAAATGTGCAGTGGAGCATGCGAAAAAAAGCACGGAATTCAATGTTTATCCATATAATGTTAGCTTAGTATATGCGTACCAGAAGGAATAGAAAACGGTATATGGCCACGTCATATGAAGCAACCTTCGAGGTGTATCAGAACGCACAGACGACGTTTTTGAAAATCATTCATGAACTTGAGTACTTGGATATATTTTTATGCACTTTTTATTACACACTTTTTGAGTGTGATGAACAGCAGACGGGGTAACCCCCATAGTCACGAGGACCTGCTGTTCAGTAATCGAAACTGGTAACCTAAACCCCAGAACTTGGAGTGGCGAATCACACAAGGCCCCGCTAGGCTAGACGTGGTATTGAACCTATATGACCTACATGAAATTGTGCAATGTGCTCGCGCAACGATATTTCGATCACATCTCTTCCGTTGTGTGCATCACGCAATTGTTGTAATATAGTAAAAAATACATTCACTTGAGAACCACTCTTTCAAAATTTTATGAGGTCAGGCAACTGACAACACCTCGAAGTTTTGGGATCAGAGACAAAAATATAAAACATGGTAAGAAGAACCGATAGTGGCCTTTTACTGTTGATACAGTTAAGAATGATAATAAAAAATAACATATGTATTGAAATGGTTATACAAGTGTCAGAGATTAGCACGACTGAAGGAGATGGTGAATGCCAATGGAAAGTCTGCGGAGCTTTGATAAACTGTTGGAGAACCATTCAATGAAGAATAAATTTGGATCAAGTAAAGGAGGACAAGGTAAATGGAATAATCTCCTAGTCTCGAACATACCCCGATAAATGGACTCATTCACAAAATCCACCAAGATAACGGATGCCCATCAAACCGCTATGGTGAAGTTAAGGATGATCCTACACGAAATGAGAACAATGGTGGACTGCAAACCTTTAGGGAGATAAGCAATTTTTACACGACGAAAAACCACCCTAGTCCCTTTGCGACTAATTAAGGGCACCAGGTCTCAGAAACTATGTGCAAATTCTTCGAATGGCATCATAGGCTACTCCGATGAAAGAATTATTGAAAGAATTTGAAATAACAATCACCTCCTAGTCCTACGTAACTTCCAATCAGCAATTTTTTCTCATCGCCAGTTAAATGCATCTGTGACACGTATCAACGATTATCATTTTCCTTTTGTCTCTTTAGAACTCACTACAGCGCTTCTCTTGCAGATCTGTTTTTTCCATTCACCTCCAACACATCATTATTATTCATTATCGTACAGCGGGATGCAGTGAAGCGAGCTTCACTGATCGCTGCCAAGCTAACAATATACACAAATCAAGTGATAAGGCACAAGATGAAGAGGGATTGGGCCGACTTGGAGGGAGGCAAAGAAAAAGAACCTCTACGGTCAACACACAGAGTGCACAATCTAAGTGTGCATACACACCTTGTCAAGCATTCTGACTTGATAAGAAATGACAACAAGAATGCCACTGCTGTCGGCTAGTCGCCATACACGTCAATGTCTCCAGCCAGCCAGTTGCGGTCTTTCGGACCCCAACCCGTAAGACAGGAGACACCGATTCTACCTAATCGCTCTGTGCATTTCTTCACGCCCCGCTTCCACGTCATCTGTTGACCACCACGCAGTTTCTTCCAACCTGGAGCCGCTACTGCGAATAAGGCGCGGTGCGGCAGACGATGGCTGGGCACGCGCAATACGTGTCCTAACCAGCGAAGCCGACTAATCTGAATTCGATGAGACAACGAATTCTCCATTAAATCATTAACCAAATATGCGACGCCTCACTTCAGAGTTGCTTACAAGCTCGCTCTATCCAATCCGCGCCAAAATACGTAAACATCTGCAGTCGAATACTTCACAACGACGAATATCTTCCACGCGTAAATTTAGAGTCGCGTAACCATAGAGCAGAACTGACCACACACTGGCGCAGTATACGTGACCTTTCAGTTTCAACGAAACGTCGCGTCTGCACCAAAGGTGTTTCAATCCTGCATAAGCTGCTCGAGCCTTGGAAATGAGGGCGGTTACTTCATGGACTATTCTTCCGTCATTTGAAATGCAGCTACCTAAGTAGGTGAAACATTCCACTACAGCTAATTCTTGACCATCAAGCATCAGCTCTGGGGTAGACGACACCCAGTCTTGTAGCATCACTACACTTTGAAGGTGCAAAGCGCGTGCCGAAAGGAGATACAGAACTTGCTAGTCTGTCAAGAGCGCACTGTGCATCCTCCATAAATTCGAACAGGCATACGATGTCATCAGCGTAATCTAAATCGCACAGCTTTTCTCCAGCTGCCCATTCAATACCTACGTT